TTTTCAAGGAATATACTTAAATTAGTTGCATATGTTGGGCAATTGAGTATTTTCTACAAATCAGTAATAGTTCAAACAAACATACTAGTAAACTATAATAGGTATAGTTTAGAAGATCACTACATACTATTTCTAAAACAGAGAAACAATACATGATTCAATACATACATACTATTACTATTCATTACAAAGTATACTATTCATTTACAAGAACAATAAGGAACTTACATACTATAACAAGAACAAGATAACTAAAATGTGAGATACTATTTCATGGCATAACAATATTCTTGCTATGTCACGTTTTGTAACCAAAGTCTCATGGAGGGAGAGCGTGATTTTGTGTATAGATCTATACAGGATTGACCATCCCACACCTTGCTGCTAGCTACAGTGGGACTTGCAGGTCTACGGGTGACAAATGTCATATCATTTTCGATGCCTGAAGAACGTCGTGTTTCATACTAGTCTATCAAGCATGGTTATAACCTAATCACATTTTAACCTTAATTAACCAGTTTGGTTTTCAAGGCAGTTAATGCATCAGTATGTATTTTATACCATACTACTGTAAATCTTCATTTTTCCATTACATTCATATAGTGATATTCTCACATGAGAAATGCATACAATTTTCGAGTAAAGATAGTTTTACAAATATGGAAAACATACATTTATACTATTTCAAGTACAAACATATATTTTACACTATTTTCAAAAGAACAGAAAATACAAACAGTCTGGTCTTTGGTAGAAGATTACTTTTCATTTAATGTAGAAAATATAAGATTTTCTGGAAAAGATACAAACATTTTCACTAAGTAGATACAAACATTTTCACTAAACAAATACAAACATTTTCATGAAACAAATGCAAACACTTGACACTAAAATACTTATGCACCCACCAACTTAAATGTTGATACTCTCTTTCAAAATAACATGTATTATCAGGAAACGAGTAGACAGGTACGCGAGCATAGGTTTTTGAGAAGACGGAGCATGTTCAGACTTATCTTTTATTTTGCTTTACATTTTTTGGTGTTATACTACTATTCAATGAACACTCATGTATTAACTATTTTATTAATGCAATGGATGCTGTTGTTTGTTTTACTATTGTGCATTGTTATGATATTGTACATGACATCCTCCATCCCCAAATGTTTCCGCCATCTTCGTTTGGGGGTGTGACAAATTATCACAAAGACAATCATCTCAACTATAAGCAACTACTAGTAGGCCGACATTGGTGCCTTCGACCCACTTCTACTGGAAGGTAACTCACATCGTAAAGCTGAGTGTCAAATCTCACGGGAAGTAATCTCTAAAAGCTGCTCCGATGACTCCCAGCTACCATAATAATAACACTCAATCAAAATCTATAACACTGCTTAGGGTAAAATGACCATTTTACCCCTTTGGCATAACTTAAGCCCTTCCTAAGCCCCAATTCTAACTTATTAAATCCAATGCACCCATGGCCCATCAAAGGCTCCCTAAGGCCCCACTAATGGACCAATTTTCTAAATTGGACCTAACCCTTCAAATGGCCTTTTCACAATTCTATTAAGTCATTAGCCCAAAATGAAATAATCTCAAGTGGCCCAATATGGTCCAAAAGCCCAATACTTATGATTCCAAATTCCCAGGCCCAGAACTATGCTCCACAGTAGCCACGGGACCCAATAGTTCAAGCCCAGTCCCCTAAGGCCCAAAAATCCCAATATAGCCACTTTGCATGCGTACGCGCGGTGTACCTAGCATGTACGCCCAATATACGCTGGCCTTGACCAAAACAGGGAGTTAACCCCATACACGCAACGTATCGGGGTGTACGCTTAGTGTACTGATCATCTTTCTTGGGACTTCATTTGTGACTTAATCTATTAAGTTTTTACGTCCAAAATGTAGATCCAGGTCCTTTAAGACCTCCTAATCCATAAAGTCACAAAATTTTATGTGCTTGCATGCATGGTTGGGGTGAAAACATGATTTTGGTACTTTTAACAAGCTTTATGATCATCAAACACTTGCATGGTTGTGGCTTAACTATTAAGGTCCGATTTTTATGACTCTTAGTGCCTCTAAGAGCCCAAAAGGACAGCTCCTATGGTCTGAAAGCATTAAGATGCAAGAAGCCTCAACAATAGAGTCCAAAAGCGGCCTTAAACACTCCTATAAACAAATCTAAGCATGCAATGGTCATGTTTGGAACTTGATACCTCAAAAGAGTCAAAAATGATGCCAATCTCCTAGTTCTACAAGCTCTTGGTGAATCCTTGCTCTTCTTCAAGCTCCTTTCTCTTCCAAAGCACCAAAACTACACCAATATACTCTCAAATGGCTTCGAAATCACAAGGACACACAAATATAGGTTAGGGTTTTCATGGTGGCTGCCTAAAGGTGAGAGGGAGGCTGGACCAAAGGCATAAGGTCCTTTATATAGGGATCAAACCCTAAAAGTTAGGGTTTTAGACTCTGTGTTCGTAAGTTGTGCGTACCCTTTGGTACGCTGGGCATACGTGCATGGCCTCCCTATCCAATCCTCTTGAGTACGATACGTGTGACTGACATGGTACACCCAACGTAACGTCCTTCTCATCCTAAATCTTAAAGCCCAACTATCCTGGCCTAAACAAAAAACAACCCATTATTCAATAAATAAATAATATTAGTACCTGCAAATCCTGGATGTTACAATGGATTATTGAGATCCCTAAGGCCCTATTTATAACATTGGGTTCCTTCTTAGGTTTTATCTTCCATCCTATGTAGGATGGGATCATAAATTTGAAATCCTCTCTTATTCAAAAAAAAAAATTCACCCACCTTTTACTCCTATAATGGTTCTGGAATATTTCTGATTAATCAGTTGTTAATTAATTACGATTCCACCCATTAATAGTTAAATTGTTTCATTAATTACAAATATAATTTCTATTGATTTCTAATTAATTATTAAACCATAATAATTAATAAACTAGTTTGTCCTTTATTTATTCTACTTAATTTGGGTCTTTAGGGTAACCCAAAATGACTCTGTTATTATTAGAAATATTACCAATAATTAATGACATTGGACACTCTTTCCAACACTTTTAGTTGTCTAAGGGAATATGAAATTATGTTTCCCTACCGTATCAAAACACACCCGAGACCTTTTGCTAAAGCATCGCTATATACAACAAAATCTCCAGTGCTTCTCATAGATTTTTCTTTAAAATAAAAAATGTTTGTTCTTGTTCCTTTCACAAACATATTTTGTTTCTTTTATCGTCAATTTGGTAAAGGGTATCGTAATACGAGAATTTTTTGAATGATATGATGATAATATGTTGTTAAACCAAGAAAACTTTGAACCTCAGTTGGAGTCTTTAGTGTCCATTTCATCACCACTTCAATCTTTGCATTATCTGCTTTAATTCCAAAATTGGATACGACATGTCTAAGATCTTGAACTTCTCGTAACTAGAAATCACACTTCAAGACCTTATCATATTATTTCTAATTCTTTTAGACTCGCAACACTTCCCGTAGATATTTTTCATGTTCACTTGTAGTCTTTCTATATATGAGAATATCATCAATAAATACTATAACTGAGCTGTCAAGAAATGGCTTACAAATGCGATTCATCAAATCCATCAAACATGACAGGAGCATCTTTAAGACTGAATGACCTCACTAGAAATTCATAATGACCATAACGAGTTTAGAACAATGTTTTTTCAACGTCGCTAACCTTTACTTGTACTTGGTGATAACTGGAGCGAAGATCAAGTTTAGAGAAGTAATAGTCTCCTTGAAGCTGATTGAAAATATCATAAACTCTCGGTCATGGATACCAATTCTTGATTGTATCTTTATTGAGCTCGTGATAATCGATGCACATTTACATCGATTCATCATTTTTTAACGGATAATATTGATGCAACCCACAGTGAAGAACTCTGGCGAATAAAGTCTTATCAGGAAGTTCATGAAGTTGAAACATCAATTTAGACATTTCTATGAGAAATTTTAAAATGTGTATGTACTCCAATATGTATTATGAAATTAAAGTAGAAATGTATATGTAATATCTTGTATGATTGCATTTTATAGTTGAGTTATGGAAAATGCTAGTAATACCAAACCTTTGGACCATAATGAAGAAAGTGATGGATAAATTGAAGAAATTGCACCCACAAACTCGAATATGACCCGTGTACCCATATAAATAAATAGGTTAGACAATTTGTTTTTGGGTTTGGCTTATCTAGTGTTAGGGTTAAGCAAGATGACACTAATATTTATATGGTTCATGACCGAAGTAAATTTATGACCTGCTAACCCACCAATCCGACCATGATATAATTGTCACTCCTACCAAATTCAAGTTTAGAGATAATTTCAATGTTCTCCGAGACATTACACTTTATCTTGTCTACTAGGGCTTATGAGGTGATGCTTACTCCCAGTTACCTCAAAGCGGTTGACATATAGGAAAATATTTTTATTATGATAACATATTGAAACTCTAGGACTAAAATCAATACTTTTCTCGTCTTTGTGGACTAGAACAAAATTTTTTTAGAAACGAAACTAGATAATTCATATATTAAATAAAGAAAAAAGTTTTACGTAGACGTAGCGGGCAAACGAGCAACAAGCTATGCCGCAACCCTCTTTTGGATGACAAAACTAATTCTTTTAAAGACAACATCTATAGATCTTGAAGTCATAACATTACTATGCATGACCCGTTGGATCTCTATTGAGTAGCTCAGCAGTTTCTGATACAAGAAAACCGAAAGTATCAAATGCAAAGAGTATGAACGTGTGTTGATTTTTCATGCACGCTTTCTCATGTTTTGCCACTTTGCTTGATGTAGCTTTTAAGACAGCTTGCTCCACAATAAAACCCCACTCCCCAAGCCCAAAATAAATTTAAGGGTCCATCTGAACTAAATCGTATTCTCGAAGGTCTTGTTATAACATTTAGAAAAAAAGCTAAACGGAGGATCCGGGGGGTGTACGTAACGTGTTGTGTCATCTCATCTAAATCTATGTTACGTCAGGCATCGGCTAAATCCTGACCGTCGAAGGGAAATTATTACAACAAACAGCGGTAAAATTATCTGGTACGGACCAAATCCAACGGCCGTAAAACAAGCAACGAGAGGTGTGAAGAGGAAAGAGAAAATGCGCTAAGGTTCAGTTTCATTTCATACAATCGTGAAATGATCTCTTCGTTTTCTCATTTCTCTCTCATCGGCACTTGCGATTGTTAAATTTCAGCTTCCAACTCTGAAACCCTAAGATTTGAGAGCTATAATCGGTTCTCTTTTTCGTTTATTATTGATTAATTTAAGATTTAAGATAGAAAGACCTAAAAAGGGGGATTCTTGATTTCCCGAAGGTGCTGTCGGCTAAGTAAGGAATTTAAGGAGATTTCTCTTTGTGTTGGAAGTTCTAATTATAATTTCCATATAGAATAGGGCTAGGGATTTGCGTGTTTGGGAATATATGGGGTTGGAGGATGCAGATCTCGTAGACGATGGAGATGCTGCCGGAGGAGGAAAAGCTGCTTTGTCGGTTTCATGCTCGATTTGCCTCGAGGTTGTCACCGATAACGGAGATCGTGGTTGGGCAAAGCTCCAATGCGGCCATCAATTCCATCTGGGTCAGTAACTTCTTTTCTTTTCCTTCAATTCATCAAAATTTAAATTGATTGTGACCTGAAATCGTTGTTCATGGATTAGTTGTATCCCTGCAAATTCAACTCGTTTTGGTGGTTTGATCTTTATGAACCTTGGGAATTGTGAATTGTCTCGTTATTTGTTAACCTTTCAGTGGTAATAAGATACGAAACATGGTTTATTAGGGACCTCGATGTTATTGATTTGCTTGTTGTTAGGGATTATCAGATAGCATGTAAAAGGATCCTCACTTTGTAATTCAACAGTTGAAGGTGTTCAGGGGAGATGCGATTGGAATAGTTGAACATCCATCTTTAGCATTAATCTGTGTCTTTTTTATCAAAATAATCAGTGTAATGCTGTGCTGTTACTAAGAGATTGCTTTATGGAGGCATTGCATTCACTAAACCCCTACACTTCTCTTTGATCTTGGGATGTGTTTTCTTGGTTTCTTATAAAACAAACAAGTTATCATCGCGATCTCCCTATTATTTCCTTAAAGAAAAGTTCTTCAAATGTAATTTGATATAGGGATGAAAGTAGAAAGCTAATCTATGGTATAGGAAGGTGCAAATATATGGAAAACACTAAAGAATATTGCTGAATTTATTTGAAAACTGAAATTACTACTTTACTATTATGAATGAATTATATTTGTAAACATGCAGTAGTTGCTTAGGTGGCCCTAGCGCGAAGTTATTAGACCTTGCTTCATTGATTTATAAATTGTCGGTTTGTACGCTTTTTGGAGATATTTTTTCGCTAAGTTTTCATGATTAATCAATCATGTCATGGTACGTTGATTATATTGTGATACTTTGGATTTTGTGCTATATGTTTGAATTCTTTTGAGAAACTCTAATTGTTCTATGAACATTTTTGAACTTTAAAAATAAACTTAGGCAAATGTCAACCCTTATCACCTGTTTCCTTTTAAGCTAAATTCTTTGATTTTCCCATTTGACTGGATAGAGTTAAAAACAACCCAAATCAACTCATTCATAAGTAAATGGGTTGAAATGGCTTCTAGTGATGAATATGACTAACCATCATTTTCGTGGTTAATAACTTAATATACATATATTTTGTTTATATTTTTTACTTAAATGCTTACTTTTTTATATCCCATACATAAAGTCATGCACTTTAAAGTAGCCAAAGCAAATTCAAGATCCGATATGATTTATCAATACACATTGTGTAGATCTGTAAATTACATCTGTAAACCGTTTACTATTACAGATTGCATTGGGTCTGCATTTAATGTGAAGGGAGTAATGCAATGCCCAAACTGTAGGAAAATTGAGAAAGGTCAATGGCTTTATGCAAATGGTTGTAGACCATATCCTGAGTTCAGTATGGATGACTGGACACATGATGAAGATCTGTATGATTTAAGCTATTCTGAATCAGTAAGTTGCATTTCTTTAACACCTTTAATAATTAATATGATATGATATGTTTCCATATTTTGCAATCTTCATTGGTCTTTCTATTTTTGGCAGTCAATGTGGTGCCCCTTTGGTGGATTTACTCGGCTTGCTGCCTCTTTTGAGTAAGCACTGCATATTTACTTTTTTATTTTATCATTTTGTGATAAAAATGCAAGAAATAGCAACGTGCTTTCATTTATTCTTTACTGCAGCATCCTACTTTCATAATCTTTCACTAAAGAATTGTGTTTTCATTTTTTTTCCTTATTATGGCGTTGTGTACTTTCATTTTTGTCTTATTAGGATGCTATGCTTTGAAAAATCTACCCAATTATAGCAATAAAAACTACTTTGTATTTGGATGACTTTGCTATAATTGGGTAGATTTTTATAGTACAATGTCCGAATAACAGAAAAATGAAAGCACACAATGCTTTAATAAGGAAACAAAATGAAAATACAATTCGTTAGTGCAAAGCGCAAAGACTATATATTTAGTAATAAAATGAAAGTAATATCTTGTGTTAACACTGCAATAATATCACAATGATATTTTGCTTTTCTGTTGAATATTTTATTACTATATCAATTACAATATTGTCTTGCGCTTTGCACTTAACAAAAATGTAAACATGGTTGAATGAAATACAAGAGTTGAAGTTCCCAAATGAGTCTGCTATATTTCATGTCTATTTTAAGAATGATGATTTTGGCCTTAGTTGTATGTTTGTTTTGATAAGTGTTTTTGTTTTTGCAGTGAAGGGGAATTTCCAACGACTGCATGTAAGATTTGATCCCTTTTGAAACGAATTAAACTGAAAGTCATGTCTAGAAAAAAAAAAAAACTTATAAATTGTGTGAATTTTGTTTTAGATCATGATCTTCTTGGACAACATGCGATCTTTACTGAACATGCAGCTGTATCATCTGCTACTCATCTGTGTCCATACATTGCATATGTTCAACCGGTTCATCCATCATCATCATCATCTTCAACATCCAGTGCAAGTGTGGGTGATGGTCATGGTCATGGTCATGGTCATGGCCATGGTGGGACCTACAACAACCAATGGAACAACAGCCAATCAGCATCAAGTGAGATGCCAAACTCTTATGGTCTCCCCACCATGGATGTCCGCTATCATACCACCCTCTTTCCAACTTCAACCACCCGTCTAGGTGGTGCTGCTGCTGCTGCTGACCAACCCTCCATGTCATCTCTCATGCCAAGAAGGCCGCTTAGGAGTAATGCTGACATGCCAAGATCTGGGGGCTCTTATGTCCATCCATTTCTTCTCGGCCAAAGGTAAACTTTTTTTATTTTTTTATTTTTTATATATATTCCACACAAGGGTAAAATCGTCATTTATGACTCTTCATTCCGTCAAAGAAACAAATCACTTCTTATTCAATATTCATTACTTAATAACAGATTTTTATTAGGAATGACAACATACTTTCATATATTGTTTTTTTTTTTTTTTATAGAATCTTATTTATTTATTTATTTTTATTTTTATCATGAAATTTTCCTTTAAAGTTTTCTTTTATAGCGTTCCCACTTTTAATCTTTTTCTGATTAATACTTTGAAAAAAATCTACCCTATTATAGCAGTGAAAATACTATATACTTTTAACAAATACATGTAAAATCACGTTACAATTTTACCTTTTTTAGTTTATGCAAAATCATGTTTTCATTTTAGGACCAAAAGATGTGATATTTCTACCTTTAACGGTTTGCATAAATTGGTAGGATGATAAAACAAATAAGCATTTTGGTTCATGTTATAATATTTCATATTTTTTGTTCTAGAATGAAACATGTTTGCATCTTTATTAAAACAACCAGTTTGTTGCATATATTGGTAAATTTCGGAATCCATGCTTAAAAGTTAAAATGCAAATATATCTCATTTTCTCTTAGTTATTTCTCAAAGTACATTCAAAGCCTTCATAAATTTTTTTGGAAAATACAATGCTGTAATAGGAAACAATGAAAGTAGGTTGCGATAAATATAAATATAATAAACAAATAAATGCATTTAATTTTCAAAGTTATGATAATGTTCTGTGCAGTTCTAGTGGTAGAGCTCCAAGTGCGGTCGGGTCATCAATGATTCATCCGTATCCGGGCAGCGCTGCCCGGGCACGTGAGCGGTCCCAGGCTCTTCAAGCCTATTTTCAACAACCCAGCAATCTACCGGGCTTACGCACACCGATCGTCTCCGGTTCCCGGAGATCCAACAACCCGCCACAAATCGGCGGTCCGGCAGGGTCATCCTCCGACCAGCTCCGTGGCGGCGGTGTCTATTTCCTCCCGACTTCCGGTGCCGGTGGTGGTGGTGGTTCGTCAAACGGTAGAGCCTTTCAAGAAGCGGAAAGCTCAATGCAGCCTAATCCGTTCCACCATGGATGGGAACGGGACCCACATGCCGGATGGGGGTTTCATCAGGCGGGCGGCGGCGGTGGTGGTGGTGGTGGTGGTGTTTTCCGGCAGAGGCATGGGTCAGATAGGACTCCGGGACAAGGGCATTATCGGTCGTAATTTATTTGTGGTTGGTTTTTTTTTTTTTTTTTTTTTTTAAATGATGATGAGAATGAAGTGAGAAATGAAATGAAAACTTGTTTGGTGTCTGTCTTGTTTTACCAACTGTAAGAAAAATGAATGATGATGGATTTACATGTTTTAAGTGTTGGTAAGAGTTACTTGTTGGATGGAGGCTTTGCTTTTGCCTTTTCGGTTGTAGGCAAAGGCTTTCTTTGTTGTTGAATCAAATGGCCTTGAAATGAGTCCATTGATACTTTGTTCAGCTTTGTGTGATTGATGGACTTTTGGCTTTTTCTTGCCCTGGAGATATAAAATAAACCTTCTTCTTGTGTTCAATGACATACAAAATTCCTAACTTAATTCAACATGTATGTATGTATGTATGGGAATAATCAATGCATGTCTTTATTGCTTTGTGATGCGTTTTTGCGTACATATTTGTTGTCCTAGTTACAACCTACATTAAAGTAAAGTTTTTATATTTGGGTGTCTAGCAATCGGTTTTATGGTCGACATGGAGAGAAGTCGTAGTGTTCAAGTCCTTAAAATCGGAGGCTAATAAAGAAAAAAGTACGATGGGAAGATGTAACTTGTAGAGATGAAGATGCTCAAATGGACATTGGATAGAACATTGTTGGATAGTATCCGAGTGAATAAATTAGAAATATGTTGAGTAGTTTTATCAATTACCGAAATTTAGGAAAAAAGATTGTGGTGGTATCAATAGGGGAGTATGGTATGGTTTGGTATAAATTCTGTAGTGGTGAATCTGAACAAAAAATCATATGATTCCTAACGTAAGTGAAACCGACAAAATGAGAGTAAATAATACTAGTAGCAGACTAGCGCCTGGTGGAGGGGTGGTGTTAGGCAGGTAGCGATGGTTGGACGACAAACAACAGAGGGCGAAACTGGTCAGGTGGGAGCAAGGTTTTAAATAACGTACGACGTGACTTGGCGGCAATGTCAAGCCTCAAACTTTTTCGAACCTTGGCGAGCCATGTCGTTTATATAATGTGGCTTATGGCGGCAATTTTGTATATAATTAATATTTTTATATGTATTTTCAACTATTATTCTAATTTACACATATATGAGTTAAGACGATATTTTAGTAAAGCTTAGCGGCATACACAAACCTTGGAGCCATGACGCGGCATGACGAGCTTTTTAGAACCTTGAGTGAGAGCGATCATCAGGGCAACATCGTATGATGATTCAATAATGTTGATCACGCCTCAACCCAAGCGACGTTTAATATTTCAAGCACTTTTTGCTATATTTTTCTATTTTTTGTTTACTTTTAAACGGACGAGACATTGAGTTATTTTAAGGGGATTGAAATATAAAGATAAGCTTCATACAATTTGATCAATTTTCGTTTTGACAAAGTTTATAAGGTAGTTATTGAAAAATTATAAGATAGTTCTTATTTTTTTCATGCATAACTTATACATTAAAAAAATATATATATAGGCGGGTCCTACGACCCACCTTCACTACACATAGATACGCCTTGAGTTTCTGACTAAACCAAAACCGAAACTGTATATATCGATTTTTTGATTTTCAAAGTTAGAACCGCATCAAACTGATCAGTTGCGTTTTTCTGCTTTTTAGTTTTAACTAATGCAGTTCGGTTTTTTAAACTTGAACCACAACTATAAAATTTTATAGTAAAAAAGAAGTTTTAGTCTCCTAAATTAATATGGAGTTAACTTAGAAATTTTCAGGTTTATAGGTTATTATTGTAATCTTATAAGATGAAGAAACTAAATGATTTTATATCTCTCAATGGATGTGGGATTAGATGTAATGTAGTGTAAAAGTTTGCAAATAGATTAATACATTCACAACTATAGAGGAAAATTGAGTTTTGCGGTTTTCATATTACTAAAATCAAAACAAAACCGAATTTTTTGGTTTTTGAAGAATTAGAAACCAAACCATAAGTTTTATGTTTGGTATCGGTTTCATCTATGATTTTTTGGTTTGCAGTTCGGTTTTTGCTCATAACTACTAGTGTGTGTGTATGTGTCTATATATATATATATATATATATATATATATATATATATATATATAATAAAAACCTCTCTAAGGTGCCACATGTCATCTTTTAAGCTTAGATTTTTCCATGTGTCCTCTTATGTTGCTTCAATCCTTTTGTTTTCCCGCTCAACGTTTCTACAGAAGATTTCATTCGGTTCCTACTTTTTCTCCTCATTCCATTTTTTTTCATAATCAATTTCAAATCATAAGTTACCTACAACAAATCTTCATCATAATCTTAAAAAATTAGGAAGAAAATCTCATTTGATTTCCACTAATATATGTTATTGATTCTTTATGCACACATATTCTTGGTCTTTCTCCATCTGATTTCTCTCTTCGTTCTTTTTTCTTTCAAGTCTTAACCGATGTTTCTAGGGTTTTGGGTATCAAACATTGTCTCCGTGGCATTAGAAGCTCTTTTCCTTTGAGTGTGTTTGATGTTCTTTACACCATATTTCCCATCGACATGTTCATCTTCTTCAAGTTTAAAGGGGATGATTGACAAATGGAAGTACCCAAATCTAACACAAGGTAAGTTAAAATGATTTCTTTAGTATTCTTTTTTGGATTCCAATTGATGTACTCTTTGTATTCGTTGTGCATCGACTCAAAGGTTTTCCCATGCAATCGGAGTTGTTAAACCTACCTTTTATTTGAAATTGATGTTAGTTTCGATTTCAATCATTACACTTTTTCTCTCCATTGTTTTTATATTTGTAATCACCAATTGAATGGTTTGTGGGTTTTTTTTATTTTGAAATTGACTTTATTTTTTATGCTTTATAGTTGGCAGGATAAGGATTAGAGTATGCAAAATCTGCCTAGCAAACTATGTCCACCAGGTGCTTGATGTAATGTCACTATCAATAGTCAATCTATGAATATTTTTTTGTAAGGTTCTTGATAGAAGAGAGATGGTATCTGGTGTTTGTTGGTCTTTTACATGGCTGTGGTTCTTCAAAAGAGTTGTTCTGATCATATATTTCAATCAAAGCTTATATACTATTTATTAGCTTTATAAGAAAGGATAGAACACCGTAAACTCGAATGGATTTAGTCTATTGGTTTCCAAATCCTACTTTGTTTATTTAAGTCCAATAGAAGATGGTCCTGAACCCTTCTCGTCTTCAAGAGATGCAGGTTAGCCCCCATTTTCCTTTCATTTTCTTCTGTATTCAATTTAAATGTGAAATGCAACCTTAGTTGTATTGTAACTGAAATAATAATATTTTTTTTATTTAAGTGGATGATCAAATGAGTCTCCTACCTTTATACTTCCAAAATATGTATTAAATCACAGTAGTTAATATATATATATATATATATATATATATATATATATATATATATATATATATATATATATATTGCAGGTTCGTACTTTGTATTCCAGTTTTTTGATGATTACAGTTATGTTTGTATTTTAAACATACACAGTGATGGAATCTCTAAATTTAGAACATACATAAAAGATTTTTCTATTTTAAGCCCAAGAAATTCGAATCACTTTTGCAAGTTATGAATGAACCAAATGTAAACCCAAATATTATCATCTTAACCACTATCATTAGTGGATGAGTGGCATGGATTTTTGTATTTTTGTATTTTTGTATGATTTTAACATGTGCGTGCATTGAAAACACATTTTTTTTATTCTTCTGCCGTTTTTCATGTGATTTTATTGGTGTTCTTATTTATATAGGACTTCAGGTCAACAACACAGATGAGCTCATGTCGACTTCTCTGTTAGTGGAATCTGTGACATTTACAAGTAATGTGTTTGATGCAATGTTTGTGAGAAATGAGGTTACTTGGGCTTCTGTGAATCAAAAATCAAGGAGACAATATAGAAGGTTGAACAACTATTGACTGAAAAACGGATTGCTTTGCTGAAGGCTAAAGAAAATGCAAAAAATTGTCAAAAGAATTCATAGGGTGAGAGACATAACAGAAGTTCAAACTTATTATTGTATATAATTAGTATGTTATTTCAAATTTACACTTGGCATATCATGACAACACTTTGTAATCATCATTACATGAAATAACTATCTTGATGTTTATCTGATTCCAATGTTTAAGGTGCATATTACATTAACGCCATGAAAAAAAATTCAGAATGAACAACTACAAGGAGCACTCAGAAGTAGAATCCTATGTGAATCATCTGGTTACTCTTATTTTTGCATACAAGCAACTGCAACAACACCTATCACGCGAGCATTGACCGACCACCGTTCGAGATGTTGTATGGGCGGAAGTGCAGAACCCCGATATGTTGGGGGGAGGTTGGCCAGAGAGTCACGGGAAGCACCGAGGTGGTGCTAGAGACGACCGAGAGGATCCAGCAGGTTCGAAGCAGACTTCAGACTGCACATAGTCGGCAGAAAAGCTACGCCGATAGACGTCGATCCGACTTAGAGTTCCAAGTCGGGGATATGGTCCTCCTGAAAGTGTCGCCTTGGAAAGGTGTCATTCGATTCAGGAAGCGGGGCAAGTTGGGCCCAAGGTTCATCGGCCCGTTCAGGGTTGCAGCCCGGGTGGGCAAGGTGGCGTATAGGCTGGATCTGCCAGCCGAGCTCAGTCAGATCCACAGCACCTTCCATGTTTCGCAGCTGCGGAAGTGCCTGGTGGACGATTCAGCAGTAGTACCGTTGGAGGATATTCAGGTTGATGACAGCTTGAATTACATTGAGCGCCCAGTCGCAATACTTGACAGAAAGACCAAGACGTTGAGAAACAAGAGGGTAGAACTAGTAAAGGTGCAATGGCAGCACCGCAAGGGTTCGGAATGGACTTGGGAACCGATGGACGAGATGATGGAGCATTACCCCGAGCTGTTTCAGGACCGGGCAGCAGACTTCGAGGACGAAGTCTAAAATAAGTGGGGGAGATTTGTAGCACCTGGTTTCCGGTATGTGAATTTTATTTGAGCATTGCCCTATTTTAGCCTTGGACTCGGCGAGTCATAAGGTCCGACTCGCCGAGTAGGGACGAGACTCAGGACACGTTTAAGTGGGCGACTCGGCGAGTCCATATCCTGGACTCGGCGAGTCACCGCTGCTGGATGAAACCCTAAGTTTCAAGGGTTTGCACCCTATTTAAACCCTCATTCCGCCCCAACTCGTCCCCATTCACCCCCAGAACTCCCCAACCTCGTTTTCCCTTATTTCCTTGAGAGATTGAAGTGTTCTTGGTGTGTTCTTGAAGGTTTTGAGGAGAAAGAGGAGTAGATCAAGAAGAGGAGAAGGAGATCAGCCATCTTTGTGTCATTTCAACATTTTCCTTGAGGTATATCTCGTTTTTCCCCTGTTTCTATGCTTAGGATTTCATTTGAGACACTCTTGAGCAATTCTTCAAGCTTGTTTGTGCTTAATGTTTCGTAATAAGTGGATTAACCTTTAGATCTAGGCAAGATTGAGCTCCAGGAGCTCAGATCTGTTAGCTTTATGGCCCCATGTGGCTTGTTCATCCTAGATCTACCCTTTTGAGGCATTTTGCACCCTAAAATCCACATTAGTGAATATCCACACGTAAAGTTGGAAACTTTACGTGTGATTTGTGTCCTAGAAGTCCAGATCTATGAATGGCATGGACTGAAATCGAGTAAATCGGTGTATTTGGTGGATGCATGGCGCGACTCGGCGAGTCTGGTCGCGAGTCACCGATTTGGTCCCTTCATGATGTATCGAGTTGAGCCGTGAGTCACAGGGGGTGACTCGGTGAGTTGGGAGCTGAACTCACCCATGTTAGGACTCGGCGAGTCAATGCCCTGACTCGGCGAGTCCAAGGCAATCTTCATAGATCAAGAACAGACTCGGCGAGTTGTTCATACAACTCGGCGAGTCTTAGCATAAAGTGTTCTTCGGATGAAGATGAACTCGACGAGTTGTTCATACAACTCGGCGAGTAGGATGAAGGAGTTGAATGACAGTTAGAAGATGAACTCGTCGAGTCATAGCCCAACTCGACGAGTAGAACCAGGGACCCAGGACAATAGTTTGCTAGGGACTCGGCGAGTGGAGATCCACTCGGCGAGTCGGGTCAACTGAAAGTTGACTCTAGCATTGGCTTAGAGCTAGACCGGGGGTAAAATGGTCATTTTACCTAAAGGACAGTTAGCAGTGTTTGATTGAGTATGTTGTGGGAATTGCAGCCGGAGGACTCCCGGAGCAGCAGCAGTCAGTTAGTTCCCGATCAGTTCAGCAGCTACTTTGAGGTGAGTTACCTTCCAGTAGCGGTGGGTCTAAGGCCACAATGCCGGCCCACCAGTAGGAGACGTATGATAGATGATTGTCTTTGTGAATCATCTAGGTTTGCTATTACCTGTTATGTTATATGCTATCATGATACGTTATATGCAATAGTAGTAGAGTTCGGTTGTTAGGACCGCTGGGTAGTCAGACACCCCAGAATTATCTGACTGTATGTGATGGTATGCTTGTATGTTGGTCTGTTATGTTATGCGATAGAGGTAGCGGGAGGGGACCAGTCCCCGAGGATCGGTTGTTAGGACCGATGGGTAGTCAGCACCCCAGAATGGCTTGACACGGGTAAGACGGCACCCCAGAATGGCCGTATGGGTAGGTCGGCACCCCAGAATGGCCGTACCGGGTAGTCAGGCACCCCAGAATAGCCTGGCAGTACGTATGTTATGTGTTTGTATGGTATGTGGTACGTTGGGGGAACTCACTAAGCTTTGTGCTTACGTTTACAGTTTTGTTTTCAGGTACCTCTGCACGAAGGGGAAGGAGCCGGCGCGGTAGCGGCACGTCATACACACACTCTTCGGTTTCCGCATTTACGAGATTTACTGGGATTGTACTCTGATATTTTGATGGGATGTATGGTTTGACCTTTTAGAACATGGTTGCGATGTGTTATGGTGTGATCAAACAATGTTTTTATTTATTAATGTTTTCTAAAGTAATATTTTAAAATGAAATTTTCGGACGTAAAAATTGGGTCGTTACAAGTTGGTATCAGAGCCCTGGTTTGAGGGATTCGGACACGCCTTCGGGAGTGTTTGGACTCAAATCGAGGGATTGAAAGATTTTCCAAAAGAAATTGTTCTTTAAAACCCGGAAAAGAGTCATAAGAAAGAGCAAAGTGTGTGACGTGCGCGACCGGCCGAGCTCAAGTAAGTATTCCCCATAGTACCCATACAAGTTTATGTTATGTTTATCAGCTTACGTAGAACTGCATGCTAGAATAGGCTAAGGATCTAGGAGTGATGCCTTATGTGCCTGCTTATGTGTTACAGCTTTATGAATATTGCATGCTAGAATTGAGTAGACAGCAGTAGGATAGCCTGTTTAGGTTATGCCTGATAGTATGAGCTTAGCATCCTATGTTAAGTGTCGTTTCTTGTTATAAGAATAGTTTTGGCTTGAGTCTGTTTTTCCCTTATCCGAATGCTGCTTGCTTCGTGCTTGGTGGGATTCTGAGTAATGGGAGTTAGCCACTAGGTAAACACGTCACACCACATGTAATCAGGGTTGAATAATCCCAAAGTATTGGAACTGGCCCTATTGCGCAGCTCTTGTTTGAGTCCAACCGTTGTAGGGACGGATCTTTTACTTGAAGGATTATCTAATCCTCATCACATGTGATGGTGTTTAGGTGGTGGCTAACTGGCATTATGAGGAGACCTACAGCAGCTGAGGACCAGTCGTGTTGAACTTGAGTTTTCCCTAGGGCAAGCCTAGGATGAGAATAACAGAGAGTAGCAGTAGTAAAGGGGAGCTGGTGGAGTCGAGGAATTCCTCGGAGAAGGTACGGATAGATGTGGAAGGTAGTATGGGCCCGTACTACTGAAAGCAGAGGATCCGTACCCGAGCCGAGGAAGGCCAAGACGAGACCAAGGAACCTGTAAGTAGTTGAGATCCCTCAGAAAGTAGCAGTACCACTAATGATTATTATGATGTTTTGCAGAATGGTGGTACTTCGACCGAGACCGACAGATGGCGGGTCAGGAGAGGGGTCAGGTTCGGGATCAGGCACCGAGCCGATTGATGAGAGGCTACGTGAGTTCATCACGTCGGAGATCACTAGGGGCATCCTTGAGTCGACCCCCATCATCTTTGGGTCGATCAAGGAAGGGATCGTGGAGTTGATGGAGGATCGCCTACGGGCATTCAGGAGCGACTTGGCCTCTAGCCAGTCGGGATCTCGCACACTGTCCTTCAAGGACTTCAGGGGCAGTGGTGCGCCGGATTTCCATGGGGTGAAGGACCCCATTGTCGCCAGGCGGTGGATTGCGGATATTGAGTCCGCCCAGTTGACCAGCTTCTGCCCCGAGGGGTCGAAGGTGAGGTACGCAGCAGGGTGTTTACGGGACCGAGCCCGGGATTGGTGGGAGTCAGTGGGTGACTCGTTGGGAGCCTCGGCTATCGAGGCAATGACCTGGTCGGACTTTGTGGCTAGGTTCAGGGCAGAGTTTGCGCCAGCGGTCGAGCTTCAGCAGCTGGCCAGGGAGTTTCTAGACATGAGGCAGACGACAGAGACCGTGGCGGAGATCACCGCCAAGTTTCGGGAGAGGGCTTTATTGGTGCCCCAGTATGCAGGTGACGAGGATATGAGGAGGACTCGTTACCATGATATGCTACGAGCTGACATTCGGGAGCATGTTAGCTTTTCGGCTTGCCCTACCCTGGACTCCATGATTGCCAGGGCTAGGGAGAGAGAGATAGATTTGGAGCACATCCGGAAACGGAAACTTGAGGACGGTCAGGCAGCAGGGGCTTCGGGGAAGAAGCCCAAGGGATCAGATGGGAGGCCGAAAGGCCAGTCGGGACCGAGCCGCTGCAGGAGGTGCGGCAGGCCGCACGAGGGGGCGTGCAGGATGGGATCGTCAGGCTGCTACAAGTGCGGCAAGTTTGGGCATATCAGCAGGGATTGCACTGCTCCTGCGACAGTTATTCAGACATCGGAGTTGCTGTGTTTCCACTGCAACCAGAGGGGCCACAAGAAGGCCAATTGCCCCATGTTGACAGTTTCAGCGCCAGTGAAGGCGCCAGCTCCAGCGACCCTGCGGATCACGGATGGCCGTCAGGGCAAGGCAGAGGCTCCAGTGGTGAGGAGTCGGGCATTTCAGTTGACTGCCGAGGAGGCACGCGCCGCGCCCGATGTGGTGACGGGTATGATTCCTTCCTTCTATCTTTTATTTTACGTTGTTATGATATTGATATGTGCTCCGTGTGTATACATGTGTATTAGGATCGTTCCATGTGAACGGCATCCCGGTTC